GGTTGTAGAGATTGAGCTGTTTCTGGTTCAAAACACCCAGTCGTAAAGCGCCCTATGCCTTTGCTCGAGGATGAACTGGCTTGGTCTCCACTTGACAGAAAATTTGGGTTAAGTATGCCTTAAGCCCTTCTTCTTTTTTCCCTGAGAGATTTCTCTTTTCTTTGTCTATCAGGTTTTTTTCAATGTACTAAGCTAGAAAACAGTAACCGTAATACGCAACGGATTTACCTCAACAGCCAGATAGTAGGCAGTGTCCCAGCTTTCGAGGGAGATTACATCAGCTGTGGCGTTATTCAATTCACATTTGTATTTTCCGCCTTGTGATGGTCGCACGTTAATGGACACACAGTTAGGCTCCATATAACACATCATACGGCAACTCCCTCGTTAGGTACCTCCTTACTCCAGATGACGTGCCCCTTGATTGCTTTATTTGCGATCGGCTCTTCGAACAAGATGATGCGGCATTCGTCACCTGTGGCAAACAAGGGAAATGATGATTCATTTTAATTAAAGCATTTTTTTGTATTTAGTGCATTGTTTCCCGTACTTTACACTGAGAAAGTTTGTGGGCAAATACCTTCCTGCTTATCGTTAACGAGTAGGACGTTTTTGAATGTTTCCAAGAAAACACCGTGCTTTATAATTTAATCCAAACCCTCCATTTCGCGTTTCTTTTCCTTTCCTTGTGCAGCCCAATTGACCGACTGAATGACACGCTAAATACATTGCCTATGCTTCAACAAAGCACCAGTAATTTTCCAAAGCTTTGCAACATTCTCGTCGTATTTGGCTTTCCTATCTTGGATGAAGATGATATGTTCATATAATGCATCACTAACGACTGCGGCCAGAACTTTGAAAAAATGAAAAAGAACTGTAAGACACCGAGCATTGCAGGCGATTAGGCGCTTCCTCTCACGCAGATGATTTCAAAGGAGTCGCTTGAAGTTGCTGCGAAAGTTTCACCTGCTTGCCTAGCGCATGATCCCTCCAAGCTTTGAAAACAGCTCTTTTGATCAATTCGCCTCATTTGTTGGGTCTTCGTACCAGCTCCATCTTATCTCAAAAATAAATTTATAATTGCTACGGATAATCAGTATATCAACCAATATTTGATTCTATTGAGATGTGTTTCCTTCTGTACTTTCTTAGACAAGATAAATTGTAAGGTTGAACGTAAATAATGGGTAAGGATTATAAAATATCTATTTAAACCCTGCATGTAAATCGGAAGGCTTCTCCATGATGGCAACATCAGACGAGATTGTCAAGTAAGAGGTGAAAATTGTGAAACGACCTTAGAAGTAGCAATTGGTTATTAGCATTTCCATGTTCAATGGTCCTGACAAACGTTTCTCAGGATTTAATTGGACGTTAGGGTATAGTTGAAATTTGCTCTTATAATCTTTTCGATGTGACAAAAACATGGTGACAACTATTTTTCTTAATTTTGCGGCTCACGGCAGCCCGTCTCACCTGTAATCTTGCAAAGGAATGGCAAATAAATGACGAACACAAAAAAATTCAGGCGATATAACCCAGCCCTAGTAATCTTATATTATAAGGACCTATACCTCATTACACGTTCAACTTAACACATCCTTGGAAGACGCAAAAACAAGAAAAAAACTAAAGCACTCTAATTTATTCCTACATTTACACTTACCAATGCATGCAAAAACTGATGCCAGTCTGATTCCTATCAAAACAGACAAGATGAAAGAAAAAGTTATCTCTCCACTCTTAAAGTGGGCCCAAAGACTCATTC